GGGGGAAAGAAGCGAAGTTGGCGCTGGATGTGTCATTCAATTGCAAATTACACATGACTTCTGGAGATCGCAGCAAAGACAAAAATAAACCGACAGACCTCCTGGAATGGAGGGAAGAGGATGAAAGACGTCCAAAAAAAACAGTGAAAGTTAGTGGGTGGGGATGAGAGTGCAAAACTGGGAGAGAGAGAGGGAAGGGAGAACGTCCAAAAGGAAATGTACTCGTAGGGAAGTGGCGCTGTGGCTCAAGCGGTAGAGCGCTCGCCTTGAGCTGAAGAGCGCAGGCACAGCGCCCAGGCCCAGAGCGCAAGCCCCACGACCAGCAAAAAAAAAAAAAAAGAAAGAGCGAAATGTACTCATAGCTGGACGCTGGTGGCTCTCGCCTGTAATCCTAGCTACTCAGGAGCCTGAGATCTGAGGATCTCGGTTCAAAGCCAGCCCGAGCAGGAAAGACTGTGAGACTCCTATCTCCAATAAACCACTAGAAAACCGAAAGTGGCGCTGTGGCTCAAGCGGTAGAGCGCTCGCCTTGAGCTGAAGAGCTGAGGGGCAGCACCCAGGCCCAGAGTTCAAGTCCCACGACTGACAAAAAAAAAAAAAAAAATGTACTTATTACCTGACGTATGCAACTGTAACCGCTCCATACATCACCTTTAGAATTACAATAAAACATTTGAAAAATATCTAAAAAGAGAAAACTGGTGAGTGATCAACCCAGCACTCCATAACAAGGGCAGCCAGGGTTCAGTCAAACCAAGCCTCCTGGAGCCTTAGAAGACTGCATTCTTTCCAGGTGACCCCAATTTAGATGTCACCTGGGGATAGGGAGCGAAGCAGGGGGAGAGGGAAAGGGAGGAGCACTAGGTGGCTAGTACCTGCAAAGAGCATGTTATGACCTAGCGGAACCAAGCCAAGGCTGCAGCACTGGCCCGCGGCAGCACAAATGCATACAGCGGCTATATGGCTCCCACCAAGGCCAGGTTTTGTTTTTGATTTTGTTTTTAGTCAGTTGTAGGCAAGTGCTCTACCACTTGAGCCACAGCGTCACTTCTGTTTTTTTGGCAGTTCATTGGAGATAAGAGTCTCACAGACTTTCCCGCCTGGATTGGATTTGAACCACAATCCTCAGATCTCAGCCTTCCGAGTAGCTGGGATGACAGGTGGGAGTCATCGGCGCCCGGCTCCAAGTTGCTTAACTCAAGCCTCATGGGCCTCTCCTGGGCCAACAAGCTGCTTTCCTGGCCTGCAGCTCCTCACCAAGAGGAGGAGCCAGAGGCACGGAGAGCACTGTGGCCAGCCTGCTCCCAGGGCCCAGCCAGGCATCTCCCACCCCGGCCACCCAGGGGCTCAGCCACTCACTCCGCATCTTCACGTGCTGTGAGACCTCCAGGAGCTCCATCTCCGTGGGCATGTAGCCCAGCGTGCGCATGCAGTCGCCAAGCTCCCGGTAGCTGATACAGCCATCTTGGTCAGTGTCAAACTCCTCAAAGGCAGCCTGAAGCTCTGCCAGGGAAGCAGGTCAGGCCGGATGACCATAGGCCAGGGTCTCCCCACCCCCAAACCCCTCCCCGCACCCTCCCTCCCCAGGCAGCGTGGAGAACCACCCACTCACCATCCAGCTCTTCGGGGCCCAGCTCACGGTCCTGCGGAGGGATGGCACAGTAGATCCCCTAGCTCAGCCACGGCCCACCCCTGGGCAGCCCCACCAGGGCAGGTGAACTCTGAGGGCCCCAGGATCATCTTTCTGGGGCTTCAAGTGAGCCCCCAGCACTAAGCACGCCTGAAGCCCACCTTGCTTCGAATTTCAGAAGCCACAGCCCGTGGCCTGGGCTCCCCAGGGGCTGCAGCTTCCACCCTCCCCTCCCCCCACCAACCTTGGATGCCAGCCCCGCCCACGCCCCCCCTCCCCTGACCTTCCCGAAGATTCGGTTGAGCAGAGGCCCATATGTCCTCTGAGCAGCATCCTGTTGGGGGTCAGAACGATGCCGGTGGGACTGGCGACGAGAAGTTGGTCCAGGACATACTGCGGGTGGCCCGTTCCCCTCTCCAGTCTTTGAGATGTTTTTGCTGTTCCCTTTGGTCTCAGAACCCTGGTCAGGGTTCTGCTCCCCAGAACTGCTCTTCCGGGACCGTCGGAGCCCTCTCTCCCTCCTGCTCCTGGTCCTGGCTAAAGGGGGACCCTCAGAGCCACCAGTCCCAGAAGATACAACCCCCGTAGGATCTTTCTGGGGACCAGAGGCCTGGGCTGGGCTGGGCCCTGTGGCCATCTAGGAATGGACGCCGGGGCTGAGATGCAGCTCCCCTGAGTAGTCTTGGCTTTGTGACCCATAAAGCTGCTTATGCACCCCAGTCTTAGAGCCGATCACCTGGGTTTGGGCACTGAGGGGGATTAGGGTTAAGTGAAGCAGGCAGCCCAGGACCTAATTCCTGCCCTCTACTCCAGGTTGGCCAGGCAGAGCCTGACGCATCCCGATTGCTGTCCTGTGCATTTGGGTTGTCAGGACAGACTGGCTGAAAGGAGCTTGGCTGGTAGACATGGCCAAGCCAACACCCCACGTCTCAGTTTCCTCATCTGTAAAATGAAGGGAGGGGGCTACTGGTTTAAAGCCAAGCACTGTGGCACAACAGGAAACATGAGCAAGATTTAGCGGGGTAGGGAGGACAGAGGAGGCATGCAGCAGGAGGAAAGCGCGGCCAAAGGCTGGCAGGTGGGGAAGGAAAAGACCAATCACCCTCAGGCTCCGCTGGGTGACATCCTGGCTGGACGGAAGGCATATAAACTGGGAAGAGAGGCCTGGAAAGCTGAGTGAGAGGCAGGGGTGTGGGAGTGGCTGGGCCCAGGGCCTCCAGCCTCGCAGGCTGAGGAGGTTCTTCCTTTCTGGGATCTCAGAGTCATGGCCTTGGTTCAGACCCTAGAACTGCTTGGGTTAAGGGGTGCTGCTGTCCGGCCCTAGGGGGGTTACAGGGCGCTTGCTGGTCACTTGTCCTTCCTGGGCTGGGGTTAGGGTTTCCTGGAGAGCAGCCCCATGAATGATTGATGTCCTCTCAGCTTGGGTTTCCTGCCCGCCCGCCTTCGTGTCGCCACCCGGTGCCATGCAGCAGGCCCCGGTGTGGGGCTGGCAAGCAGTTGGGCCACAATCAGGCAGGCACATAGGCCTCCCAGGTAAGCCAGGCATGCCGGGCAGGGCCCTAGGGGGGTGGGGGAGGGGGAGGACAGAGCTCTGATCCAGTAGGGGACTGGAGCAGGGAGGGGGTCTGCTTTAGGAAAAACCGTGAGCAAGGGAGGTGGAGGCCCCATGCTGAAGGCCAGCAGGCTGCAGCCATGGAGGCACCGAGCCACTTAGGACCCAGGCCTGTGTGTCCCCATCCACCTCCCTGTCACCTCCCTACAGCGCCGCCTTCTCTGTCAAGTAGTTGTGTGAAACAACAGGGCCACCCGTTGCCTGTGCTGTGGGACGCAGGAAAGACCTCAGGAGGTTGCAGAGGACGTTGAAGGGGCACATGCTGCTCTCAGGACAGCCCCCGGCCACGGCCCGAGACTCAGACCTTACCCCAGATTTCTGAGCAGCATTCTTTGCGGGAGAGGCCTCCTTTGCGGCCCTTCTCCAACTCCTATGCGCCCGTGTGGCCCAGGACCTCCCCTGGAGGGCAACTACTGGTTCTTGAACTCAAGGTCTTGCTTAGCTCTTTTGTGAAAGGCTGGTACGCTACCACTAGAGCCACACTGCCACTTCTGGCTTTTTGCTGGCTAATTGGAGATAAGTCTCACGTACCATCCTGCCTGGACTAGCTTCAAACCAGGATCCTCAGATCTCCTCCTGAGTAGTTAGAATTCCAGGCATGAGCCACCAGTGTCTAGCTCCCACTTGGGATTTTTTTTTTTTTTTTTTTTTTTTTGCTGGTCATAGGGCCTGAACTCTGGGCCTGGGCGCTGTCCCTCAGCTCTTCAGCTCAAGGCTAGCACTCTACCACTGGAGCCACAGCACCACTTCTGGCTTTTTCTGTTTATGTGGTGCTGAGGAATCGAACCCAGGGCCTCATGCTTGCAAGGCATGTACTCTACCGCTGAGCTACCTTCCCAGCCTCCACTTGGGATTTTTTTAAACACTTGAACCCTGCCCAGAATATTAGGCATAAGGGGATCATATAAGGAGTGTATCAAGTGGTTTCCAAACTCTGTTTCCTGGAGGTGTCTCTCCCGTGCCTCTATAATCTGAGCGCCACCTTTTAGTTCATATAATACTTCATTTAAATAGTCTCACCAGCTCTCAATATGTTTGAAAGCCTGTGGTTTAGTCTACATGGATGTAGAGATTCATGTGACAGAATGGCCAAGATCAGGTCTGCCTCCCTTCCTGTCTGTGACCTTGGACAAATCCCTGATTCAATAAACGATCTCCCTCCCTCACCCCACTGGGAAATGGATTGGAGGTAGACTGCAGGAGGACTTCTATCTGAAGTTGCTGCCACAAGCTAACTACCCCCCAAAGGGTAACACTGACTCAGACGAACAGTGATTTTCTTGGAGATGTGCAGGAGCCTTTCTCTCCTCTCTCTCTCTCCTCTGTCTCTCCTGTCTGTGTCTGTCTGTCTCTGTCTCTGTCTGTCTATCTGTCTGTCTGTCTGTCTGTCTCTGTCTCTGTCTCTCTCTGTCTCTCTCTCTCTCTCTCACACACACACACACACACACACCCCAGAGCTTAAATTCAAGGCCTTGTACTATCACCTGGCTTTTTCACTCACACCTGTAACTCTACTACTTAAGCCAGACCTCTACTTCTGGCTTTTTATTGTTTAATTGGAGCTAAGAGATCTCATGGACTTTTCTTCCTGGGTGCAGCTTTGGATGGTGATCCTCACACCTCAGCCTCTAGAGTAGCTAGGATTATAGGTCTGAGCCACAGGTGCCAGGCTAGTCTCTTTCATTCACTCATTCATTCATTCATTCATTGATTCCTCAGGTACAGAGCTTGTGTCCAGCAGTACCCTGGGGACCCCGGATGGACACTGCCATGAAAGCCAACCTGGGCGATGCCGGCCATAGGCCCCGCACAGAGCTTGATGATGACGACTACTACCCCCAGGGTAGCTGGGACACGGTCTTTCTAGTGGCCCTGCTGCTCCTAGGGTTGCCAGCCAACGGGCTGATGGCATGGCTGGCAGGCTCACAGGCCCGGCATGGGGCAGGCACGAGGCTGGCTCTGCTGCTGCTCAGCCTAGCCCTCTCTGATTTTCTCTTCTTGGCAGCGGCAGCCTTCCAGATCCTGGAGATCCAGCATGGAGGGCACTGGCCGCTGGGTACTGCTGCTTGCCGCTTCTACTACTTCCTGTGGGTTGTGTCCTACTCTTCAGGCCTCTTCCTGCTGGCCGCCCTCAGCCTGGATCGCTGCCTGCTAAGCCTGTGCCCACGCTGGTACCCCGGCCGCCGCCCAGCTCGCCTGCCACTGTGGGTGTGCGCTGGGGTCTGGGTGCTGGCCACTCTCTTCAGCGTGCCCTGGCTTGTCTTCCCCGAGGCTGCCGTCTGGTGGTATGACCTGGTCATCTGTTTGGACTTCTGGGACAGTGAGGAGCTGCCCTTGCGGATGCTGGAGATCCTCGGGGGCTTCCTGCCCTTCCTGCTGCTGCTGGTCTGTCATGTGCTCACCCAGGCTGCCGCCTGCAGGACCTGCCGCTGCCACCAGCCCCAGCCCCCTGCCTGCCAGGGCTTTGCCCGAGTTGCCAAGACCATTTTGTCAGCCTATGTGGTCCTGAGGCTGCCATACCAGCTGGCCCAGCTGCTCTACCTGGCCTTCCTGTGGGACATCTACCCCGGCTACCTGCTCTGGGAGGCCCTGGTCTACTCCGACTACCTGATCCTGCTCAATAGCTGCCTGAGCCCCTTCCTCTGCCTCATGGCCAGTGCCGACCTCCGGGCCCTGCTGCGCTCGGTGCTGTCGTCCTTCGCGGCGGCTCTCTGTGAGGAATGGCCCAGCAGCTTCTCACCAGCCGAGCCACAGACCCAGGTGGGCTCTGAGGGGCCAACTCTGCCCGGGCCAACACCTGAAGCCCAGCCACAGCTAGATGCCACGGCCCAGCCTCAGGCCAGCGCCCCAACCCAGCCACAGCTGAATCCCGGGGCCCAGACCCAGGCCAGCCCCCCAGCCCAGCCACAGCTGAATCCCGGGGCCCAGACCCAGGCCAGCCCCCCAGCCCAGCTACAGCTGAATCCCGGGGCCCAGAACCAGGCCAGCCTCCCAGCCCAGCAACAGCTGAATCCCGGGGCCCAGGCCAGCCCCCCAATCCAGCCAAAGTCAGACACTGTACCCCAGACCCCTGCCTGCCCTGTTGGGGCGGCCCCCAGCCCCTGTGAGGAAGCCTCCCCTAACCCACACCCAGATCCCACTCCTGAGACCCCAGAGAACCCACTCACACCAGCTGCCCCTGAAGGAGAAAGGCCTAATAGTGCCCCACCAGAGGAGGCCCCCAGTACTGGCCCCACTTGAGGGTCCAGGGAAGTCCAAGCCTACCAGGGCAGTGGAAAAGCCAGAGGAGCCAGAGGAAGCAGCCAATCAGAGAGGTGGGAGGATCTCCCTGTGGAAAGCCCCACTGAGTCTCCCACCCCCCACCCCACCCACTGCTCCATCCCTTGGGCCTACAAAGAGTACCAAGGGGAAGTGAAAAGAAGACACCAAAAGTCCCACTTCGTTGTGAGTGATCCCCGAGTCTTCCCTACCCAGATCTTCCATGCTTATACATAGTTGCCCACAGGCTCTTTTCTTTTCTTTTTTCCTTTCTTTCTTTTCTTTCTCCTTCCTTTCTTTCTCCTTCCTTCCTTCCTTCCTTTCTTTTTTCTTTCTTTCTTTCTTTGCCTCCTGTAGTGAGCACAAAACTTAAGGCCTTAGGCATTCACTTGGCTTTTTTTTTTTTTTTTTTGGTCGGTCGTGGGGCTTGAACTCTGGGCCTGGGCGCTGTCCCTCAGCTCTTCAGCTCAAGGCAAGCGCTCTACGACTTGAGCCACAGCACCACTTTCAGTTTTCTAGTGTTTTTTGTTTTTTTTAACTTGAAGATAAGAGTCTTGCGGACTTTTCTGCCTGGGCTGGCTTTGAACTATGATCCTCATATCTCAGCCTGCAGAGTGGCTAGGATTACAGGCATGAACCTCCGGCACCCCGTTGCTTTTTCTATTTATGTGGTACTGAGGAATCCAACCTAGGGCCTCATGCATGAGAAGCAAGCACCCTATCATTGAGCCACCTTCCTTGCCCCTCACTTGGTGTTTTTGCTCAAGGGTGGCACTCTACAACTTGAGCCCTACCTCCATTTCCGGCTTTTGCTGGTTAACTGGATAAAAGAGTCTTACAGGCTTTCCTGTCTGGGCTGGCTTTGAACTGTGATCCTCAGATCTCAGTCTCCAGATTTGCTAGAATTAGATGTGTGAGCCACCAGCACCCAGCTGATGGCGTCCTGCTGGGATTTTTCCTCCCCCCCCCCCCCCCATCCTCCCCAGCTCCCTGCCCTCCTCATGCCCCTGTCTTGGTGGAGGAAGACAACAGGGGTCACTTGTCCTGGGTTACATTTGACTTCCCTGCCGCTCTTCCTTCCTCTTTCCACTTCCTTGTCCCATCCTCCAACCTGAACACATGCACCCTAAACAGATGGGAGAAAGGGAAGCTTTCAGGAGTCCACAGACTCAAGAAAAGCCTTGAAACCCTAATGGTCCACGAGCTGGCTGAGCAGAGCTAAGCCATCTCCATCAGTTGATTTTCTCTAGTGGGCAGTGAGTGAGGCTGGGGCGGGACTTCCCCCCAAAAAGCAGCCAGAGAAGAAGCGAGAGTGACAAAACCTGGATTCCAGTCTGGCTGCTCCTGCCTCTTGGGCTGTAATGAAGATTAAATGAGGAAGTATGGGCAGTGCCCACAGGAGCTTGGCACCCAGCAGGGCCCAGTAAGCCAAGGGCCTCTTCCTTTGCTGACATGTGATGGACGCAGCAGGCAGGAGGCAGGCAGGAGAAGCACCACCTGGCTGAGATCCCAATGACCTGCACGAGCTGGGGGCACCCAGGTGGTTTGAGAGCGCACAGGACCTCCTCGGACACCATTCAAAGTTTCCACTAATAGCCATCTGTCTCCTCGGCCCCAGCTTGCCCAGCATCCCAGCCCAAGGGTTCTGGGAAGAGGCTGCCCAGGGACAGATTTGTCCTGGGCACCTATGGTCCTAGGGGAAGAGCTCCAAAGGTCACAGGACCTCTCTGGTAGAGCTGCAGACACTGCAGGAAAAACTAGGAAGTACTAAAAGCCTGTCTCTCACTACTTCCCTCCACACTGCCCCTCCCTCCACCCCACTGGGCTTTCTCCCAAGCCCCAGAGTTCTGAGATCATCCTTCCCCCCTCTTCCCACCGTTCCTTCCCATTTAGCACTGTGACCTTTTGCTGCTGACCGATGCCCTCCCCAGCAGATACAAATGATGACGTTTTCTAGGCTGCTCTTCTGGTGCTTGTGTTCTAGTAGAGCCAGAGGCTGCTGGTGCAGGCAGCAGGGAGGGAAAACAGTCAGATCTGGTTCAGGCATCTGACTGGCTCTTAGCCTCCATTTTCTTCTCTGTAAAATGGGGGTGGAAGGACCCCTGCAGGGCTGTCAACACAGGTAAGGGAAGGGCATCTTCCTGATGGGATGGTAGCCAATGAGAGACAGATATAAACATCCATTGGCTAAATAGTTAGCTAGCACGTGCCAGGTGCCTGCCCTTTTGGAGACACACAGGCATCAGGGTCCAGGTACGTCTCTGGTGCTCCTGCTCAAGGGCTACTAAACTCCTGGCTCCCCCACTCACCAGGCATCCGACCTCCAGCAAAGCTCTGGACTTGTCTTTGGGGCTCAGTTTGCCCATCTGTATATTGGGAATCATAATTACGGTGGAGCTCTATGAAAGGTTTGAACCTTGGTCTGAGGTGGAATCTGTGCTCAATAATTGTTAGCCATTAGTGCACACACTAGTGTGCACCTCTCCCCCCCACCTTAGCCATCCCCCCCAGACCAAACTGCCTCAGGCTAGAGTCCAGCTGGCAGGTATTTGGCTCACCAGGTGTTGGCCTTCCCACCCTGCCACCCTCCCTCCTCCTTCAGGGGCTCATGGTCTCCTCCTCCCCACACACACACCATAGTCCGTAGGGGTGTACATTTTCTGAGGCAGGACCTGGACTTCTGTTCCCCTCAGGCATTCTGCAGAATTCCCCTCCCTTCCCCCTGGAGGAATTACAAAGCCTCTTCAGGCCAGCAGCACATCAGTGAACAAAATATCCAACTTTGCTCACACTCCAAGCCCCAGCTTTTTGGGAGTGGGCCAGTCCCACCTGCAAGATCCCCACCCTCCTACCCAGGGCAACCCCAGCCGTAGTAGGTGATTGCTTTCCAAGAGAAAGAACACTGCCCTGGAGGGTTTTGCAGGCTATAAAGGAGTTCTCCTAGAGGTCCCTGAGGAGGATAGTGTTGAAGGAAACAGGGCCACAAAGAGAGGACATTCCACAGAACTGCCACTTTACCCTAGCGTTCTGGGGGCGGGCTCATGTTGCCTTCTCCGGGTGAGACTCCCTTCCTCTCCTTCACAGGGACCAGATGCTGATTCTGAGCATTGTAAATATGAACATTTTTCAATTCTGCATTCAGGGTTCTGTGCCTTCTTTCACTCAATATGTATTAAGTGGTTATCTACTGGGTACTGGGTCTTTTTCTGGGCACTGGGTGGGGGGGGGGTCAGTGGGAAGCAAATCAGAGTGTCTGCCGTCTCTTCTCTGGCATCTTTAAGTGGGGTGAAGCCAAAGACAGATGTAGAAATATGTAAGTATAATTAGAATCTGGAAGTGATTAAGAACACCACAGTGGGACTAGAGACAGAATCCAGGTGAGAAGGGAGATCGCATCAGCAGAGACCTCGGGCAATGACAACCCCTGGGGGAAGAGCCTCGCGGTGGAGACCAGAGGGCAGGGAGCACGATGTGCCCGGCCAGCATGGGGATGAAGGCGGCGTGATTCAGAGACAGGAGGCTCAGTGCCGCTGGTCACACGCAGAAGAGAAGACGGGGGTGATGAGGGAGGTGAGCAGGGCTCACAGGGGGCAGATGGTGGGGGACACATCCGGCGCGGGGTAGGGGGAGCTTGTGAACGGGAGCCCTTGGGACTGGCTGAGCTTCGGCTGTAGGTCCCCGCCTTTCCTCAGGGTCCCACCACAGACGTGTTCCTGTTCCCACAGTCCTGGCCAGCCAGACCCAGGGTTTATGGAACAGTGGAAAACACCAGGATTTTGGAGCCGGTGAATGAGGAATGGGTCTTGGCTGGGTGACCTCCACAAGCTCTTGGCCTCTCTGGGCTGATTTCCTACTAGGATGTGGTGAGGGGTCCTAACTCAAGCCACCCTCCAACACATCTGGGGGCTTTGTGCTGCCCAAGACAAGGCTCCCCTGGACTCCTTCCCTTTCTGGGAAAGGGACCCTGCCACCCAGGGAGGGTGGTGGCCGCTGCCCGGCAGGGCTGAGCGTGAGATGGACAGGACATGAAAGGCTTCCCGGGGTGGATCCGTGGAGGTTGGTCTGGGCTCCTTGCCCAGGACCGACTTCAGGCCTCCCCCCTAGATGGCGGCTCCGTCTCCGTTTTTAGTAAGAGGCCGGGACGGGATCCCGGGTGTCCATCTGGGACCCGCGGGCCTTCCAAAGCTTCTTTACGCATTGTTAGTGTTCTTAACTCTAAAAACCTAGAACCGGGCCGTGAAAGGGTCCGTGTAGATGTCGTTTGGGGGCGACGCGGGGCGGTCATGGGGCGTCCGGGGACCGAGGACGAGCTTCACCCCACGATGACCCCAGCGGAAGCCTCGGCCCACCCGCCGCCGGCCCCGCCCCACGGCGGCCGGGGGCCGCGGAGGGCCGGAGACGGCGGGAGGCTGGGCGGGGACGCCGCTGGCCACGCCCACGGGGCGGAGCCTCGCCCGGCCCCGCCCCGCGCGTGGCCCCGCCCCGCTCCTCTGTCACTTCCTGATTCCCGCTTCCTGCTTCCCAGACACCGGGATCCGGAGCCGCCCGAGGCCGCCGCGCAGCCCCCTCCCCCGGCGCCCCGGCCAGTGGCGAGCGGTGAGCGCGGCGGGACCGCGGCGGGGCGCGGGCGGGGCGGGGCCCGGGGCGGGGGCGCGGGTCTGGGGAGCCCGTCCCTCCCGCTGCGCCCCACCCCGGGTCCCCGCACCCTGGAATTCCCAGCCTCTCCCCTCGGGGCGGGCCGGGGGGGGGGGGTCTCTGGAAGTTGGGTCCTGGCTCCCGGAGACCGCGCTCCGAGGCCGCGGGAGATGCTCGGCGGCTGGCGGCGCCGTCTCCTGCGAACCCCCGCCCGGTCCTCCACCGGGTCCTGCCGGGGTCTGCGGCCGGGCTTCCCCGGGACGCAGAGCCGGGCCTGGTGGGAAGACCTCGCCAGCCTCCCCTCCCCGTCTCCCAGCTGCAGATCCCCGGGCAGGAAGGGCTGCCCG